TGTTATTTATATTGTATTTCTGCACTGCGGCTGCCGACCAGCTCCCAGGGGTAACTCCCAGACGGGCGTCAGGGTGTTTATCTAGGCATGAGTTGGTTGCCCGGGCGCCCGGTAAACAACCTAGCAAAGAACTCAATTGTTGGAGATTAATGGATTCATATTTTGCTAAACTTTGTTGATGACGTGGAAATGATGCAAATGCAGAGGAGTCTGCATTCCCAATTACAACTCATAGAGACTGGCTCAGCACTTATCTACAAGTTGTTTCCTGCAAATTTTGAGTATGCTTGTGGGTGATAAGTAATGAGCTGGCAAAGGCTGCAAGTGGATCTCAGCCTCGCACAAGAATTTCAGTTATCAGCAAGGCTAACATGTGGTCATCTAACTATTGTTGCTTGATGACGGACAATTCCATTCCGGTGTACAGACCATACTCTGTGTCCCTGTGCAAGGTGGAGTGGTTGAGCTGGGAACAACAAAACTGGTATGTTTGGCAGACATTCTCCCCCTCCTTGCACTCACTCTCTCCCCTTTAAACAAAGTTTGTGTACACTTATGTCATCTGGATCTTGTAAATCTCCGAAGTGCAGCTGTGTACTTGATCAGCCTTTGCATTGTACTACAAATCCTAATGACAGATCTTACAAAAGAAGAAAACCAATTCTCTATCAAGCGCCCAGTGGCCACTGGTGTAATGCTTCACACCAGTGGAATGTGCCTCGCTGCCCCTCTCCATCAAAAATAGTGTGCTGTTTCAGAGATTGTATGCCTTTGCTTGACATGCATATGCAGGTCCGGCAATTCACTGCAGTTGAAAGTTAATATGCTTGCCAGCTTCTGCCTGACATCTCATGTGTGGCATGCATTCCTTTTTGCACAGGGTGAACATCGTTGCCTTGTCAATCTTCTAACTTTCGCTTCGCCTTTCCTCTTTTTCTGTTTCCCTTGCTGTTATCATCATTGTTATCGTCGTCTGACATCATCGTCATCATCGTCATCATCATCATCGTCATCATCATTATTGTTATGATCATGATTGTCATTGTTTGATTGTTGAGTTCCGCCTGCAAGACCCTCGTATGATGCTTTGCCACATCTCTTACTCGAGGGATAATGTAATTGAAAACTGATGCCACGGAAGAGTGTTCCCCCCATGAAGTTAACCTTACAGGTTTTCAGAGTCGGACCAAATGAAGTGAAGCAGCAGGTAAGAATATACCTCTTTCCTCGTCGCCACTGGCATGCCATATCTGACCCCCCAACCAAATAAACAAGCCAAAAAAAAACTATTTGGTTACAGGACACCTGGGCAGTTCGGGAGATGGACGACAGGGTTAGGGTTTGAGCAGCAGACGGAGGGTCACAGGACACCTGGGCAGGTAGGAAAGGAGAGGGACCCTTGACGGGGAAGAACCCAGCCCGTGACAGGGATAGACAAGGACGGAACCCCCCCGGGGGTTACCCCACCTCTCGTGGGCCTCAAGACTATTTGACGGTTGGAGAAGCTGAGAAGAGCATAGAGAGTTCAGGCTAGGGCGCAGAGAAATCCAAGAGGCTAGAAAGTACTCTCTGGTGAGCAATTGCTCGTAATCTAAACTGGGTAATGCTCCCAGGTTGAATTGCGAGGACCCCGGCCTCACACTGTTTAATTCACGTACCACCTTGTGTGGGGGTGTTATTGACGATTATCTCCTCATATCATGTGGGCTGTGTTTCATCATTGCAGGCTCAGGAAGAAACTCTCCTTGTGAAAATGGTTCAGACAATGTTCAGCACACACAGTCGGCCATCCAAGGAGTACCGAGGTCCTTTTGGGGGTTTCATTCGGTCCAACCCTCTTGGCGGTCTCTGTCACAACCCTTCGGCTGCATTGTGTCATGCTTCAGGTGCAACATTTGGTCATTCCATCAATGGTTTGAGGGCAGGAACAGGCTGCATCGACTACAGCCAAATCCGGCCTGGTCTTCCCAGAAGCACAGGGACTGAGCAGCGCGATTATTTTGCATCTACATCTTTTTCGCCAAAGGTTGATCGAGCATGGGCGCTAGGTAGCGGGCTATCTGGTAATTGTGTTACACCGACGGCATCAGGAAGCTCCCTGCCCATGTCTGCTGCGGCTAGGCTACTGTATAATCCTCCGACTGCTGGCTTAATGCTTATGCCTTCTGACATGCCTGCAGCAGAGTCGTCGGTGGGGACAACAGGAATGAAGGGAAAATCGTCTCCAACAGTGAACCTTTGCCATCGTCAATTGAACAACGGCGTTGGGATCAACCCGGCAGGGCAGCCTCTTCAAGGCATCAATTCCTTGTTACGGGGGTTGGATCCAACAGGTACCTCATTTGCACACCGGGATAATCCAAAAGATGCCAGGCTGCTTCTTCCAGCCGACCAAATCGTTGCCGCCCATCAGGCGCGGACTGCGAATGCCCAGGTCTTGTTTAATCGGAATATCCTTAAAGGTAACACATCGCTGTGCATCCCCTCGCTACAAGGGTTAAGTACACCGATAAATCCTAGCAGTTGCAGTAATTATGCAGTCAGCTTGCAGGCAGAAATAAGAAGGCAGCAACAGCAGCAGCAGCAGCACCAGCAACAGGGTCAGGAACAACGTCATCAGACCCAGCAGTTTGGTGGACCAGTTTTCGTTCCGATGCCCAATAGTCAGCAACAGGCCAGGAGTGCTCAAGATCAAGAGAAACACTCGCCTGTAGACATCAGTCATGTTAGGCATAATGGGGCTGACCTGGCCAATCCAAGCAGCAAGGGACTAACCCATCTTTATTCATTGCCTGGCAACAATGGGGCAAAGCTGTCGTCAATGCGGCCATCAGTCACATCCCAATCCTATTTGCAGACACCACCAGGGTCAACAGCTGCCTCTTTTTGTGACATGCTCTCCCAAGACCAGCTGTCCCAGAGCAGACATAGTCAGGCTGTGCTGGATAATCGCATGCTTAATCAGATGCATGCGTTACGTCCACTAGATGCTGCAGTTCCAAGTCAGGGTCCAGTACATTGGCCTGGCTTAGGCAGAGGTGATGGGACGTTGCTTGACGTGGTCTTGCACAGGAGCAGTGGGACATCCCAAAGAATACCGGAGACACCCTTGGACGATCCTTACTTCCTGAGTGGCGTGCACTCCTCTGCAGCATGCCCAACTGGTGCACTTGCTCCTGATACCAACCGCGCCACCAGGGCTAAATCTGACTTGCAGCAGCGGCAAACGTCTGTTGAAGATGTCTTGAGCCCCGTCCAAAATAATCCTCAGGAGTTGGATGAGGTCTTCAGGCACCAGCAGCAACCTGAGGGAAACAGCCCCGTGAACTCACCGGCCAGTAGAGGTGGAGCTGCTGCTTGCAATCAGGGCAGCAGCGGCCTCCTCTTGAACTCTGGGAAAGAGTCTGTGATTGACCAACAGTTGGCCGAAGATAATATAGAACAGCATTTGAAGGAGCTCAGTCTTCCATGTGTAGGAGAAACAGGTCAAGCAGACACCCCCCCAGAGAGACGTCCAGGCAAAGATGTTGAAGATGATCTAGTCAAATTAGTGCGACAGCACTCCAAGCGGATAGTCCAGAGTCCTGAGATTTCTGGCACGTCGGCCTCATGTCAGGGTGAACCTGTGTCGCGGGAGAGGAATGGGTCGATTTCACGACAAGGCAGCTTTGGGAGTTTGGGAAGCCTGACAAGCAAGCGCCAGCATGAGGCAACCCTTACAGAGAAAGATACCACCAGGATAAGAGAAGGGTGTTCCCAACAGGAGGAGAGATTCTCATCAATGATGCTTCCGTCATCACCAGTCCACGATGCGTGTTTGAATCATGAATGTGATCAGGGATACAGAGGAAACAGAGGACCAGTGGAAAGTGATGACCCAGAAGCTAATCGATCTCAACTGGGGTGCAGTCCGCAATCTCTGCTCACTGGTGCAGGCTCCAATCACAGGAGTGAGGCCCGTGGCCAAGTCCAGATGAGAGAGACCGAGGTACAAAGGACATCGTTTGGCAATTCATCGTTCGTTGTGGCCCGAGTTGGGCTGGATTTCGCTGCAGAAAACCCCTTGGTTGGCCAAATGACAGATTGGCGGTTAGAGAGCAAGCTGGGACCCACAGAACAGCAGGTTTCATCATCGAAGGAACAGTCAGAATCTAGCGATGCCTTGTTTGACACCGATGGGGACGAAAGTAGCAGCAGCAGTAGCAGCAGACACAGTCAAAGTGAGGGGATGTCTGATCTCACCGGCCTCTTTCCGAACTCAGATAAGGTAAGGAACTTGTGCCAGGTTCCCACTTGTTCAGGCTAAGAACATGCTCACACTAGAAGAAGTTGCAACAGACTCCCACATGTACACTTGTAATCGAATACATATTACATACATATGAAGGTCCCTGTTTGAGAGTGTTTGTGTGACTTGGGACTCCTTCGCCTCATTCTTTTTTCCCCTCTGTTAAAGTCTTGCTTTGAGAAGCAGACCGTCTGAACGTTCATCGGTGGTAATCTTGTACGTAATGGAGTTTATCAGGATGCCCAGTCCTGGCCTAATCAACAGCAGCTGTGAATGGGGTACCTTTCAGCCACCCACAGTTTTCTTTCCAAGCAAACTCTGTCCAGGAATCTCATGTTTATGGATTCGGATGCGAGGTCTACTTCTAAGAGGGGACTCGTCCGTGTGAAAATGTTTGAAAATGAGGAACATGGTTGGAATCTTTGAATTTTCAAAGGCTATTTTATTTTCAATTCAGGCACGGACTTCGAGAGGAGGAATGATGTGCTATGCATGTGTGTGACAATAGGTGGCTCTTTCATCCTTTCTGTTTTTTCTCCATTTTTTTATAATGTTTTCGGTAGTGTGTTTTGCAAAGGGAAGAGCCTGCTCCAGGAATAAAGGCATTAACTTGTGCACGTTTGGTCTCTGATGGTTTGGCTTGCAGGCAGAGATGGCTGAATTTTTTGACCAGTCGATGAGCGATATCGGTCACCTGCAGAAGGAGATTGGAGGTGGCGAATTAAGCATAGAGAGAGGAACACCTGTCAGTCTCTCATGTAGCCGGGAGAGTGAAGGTTCTTCCGATGTGGGTTTACTAGGAGGATTAGAAGGTTCGAGGGGAAGAATGCAGCATGTGCGCGAAGATAAGTGGTGCCCTGCGGACGTGTCCACTCTGGCGACTGACTCCACGTCAGCATCGAGCATGTACTCACTCGAGTATGAGATGCGGGTGTCGGAGTTGAGGAAGCTAATGTTAAGTGAAACAGATAGGGGAATGGCGGCAGATGCCAAGGCGGCATCAGACAAGGTCGGCGCAGATAAAGTAGATGACGATCTTGCGTGCAACAAGTCCGTGGCGACCAAGACTGACTGTGGTGAAAGAATGAATGGCAAACAGAGTGCCGAGGAACATCACGAACCTTCCGGATTGTCAGATGTTGAAGTAGAGTTTCATGTGGCTGGCGATGACCGGATCAACTTCAGATTGTCTTGCCGGAAGCAGTGCGGTCTTTATGGAAAAGTCATGCTGGCTCTGGATTATTTGCGAGTAAAAATCGTGGAAGCTACGATGACTACAGAGAATAGTATGGTGGTCTTTGAACTCTCAATTCTGTATGGGGTAAGTGGTTCCAACCATCCTGCGCAACGCAGTTGATGCAGAGCTTTTTTTTTTTTTTTACGTCTTTTTCTTTTTCAATGACTGATGCCCTCTCATCGGTGTTTGACATCATGACTCGCTAAGAATCAAGATCCCCTAAACTGACCTCCCATGTCTGAGGCCACAGGCTATGCCCATGCTGGGGCAGTAGGACCTGAGTTCGAGGCCCTTTACCTAACTGCCTGGGGAGGTAGGCAATCTCTACCTGCCGTGGCCGACAGAGAAAAGGCAGGCCAGGGCACAAGGAAAGCATCCGGAAAGATTGTGGCTGGCTGCGGTAGCACTAGTTGCAGCACGTGCGTTGCGGGTGCAACCGTGACCCCAGCCTACAGACAAAAGGCAGTCCAGGGCACAAGGAACGCATTTGGACAGACTGTGGCTGGCTGCAGTAGTACTACTGTAGTCGCAGCGTGTGGGTGAGTGGGTGTGCAGCCGTGACCCCAGCCGACAGACAAAAGGCAGTCTGGGGCACATGGAACACATTTGGACAAATTGTGGCTGGCTGTAGTCGCGTGTGGGTGAGTGGGTGTGCGGCCGTGACCGCAGCCGACAGACAAAGGCAGTCCAGGGGACAAGGAACGCATTTGGACAAATTGTGGCTGGCTGCAGTTAGTACTACTGTAGTCGCAGTGTGCGGGTGAGTGGGTGAACGAACTTGCGAGACAGGCAGCGGTTTTGGTGGGTGCTGTGTAGCGAAGGCAGGCACCATAGCTGGTTGGGGGCTGTGTGATCGAGAAGGGTGGCGAGACGAAGGGGAGGTCCTTGGGTGGTGAGATTGGCAAGATGAGCTCCAGTGCTGTCCAGCTCTTCAGCGGTCATGTTCCAGGTCAATATCTGGTCATATTGTCAGACTGAACAAATACGAAAAAGAAATGAAACGGGTAAAGGTTGTGAGGTCCACTCAACATCAACACAAATCGGAGAGGGGGTTGAAAACTTGACGTCGCTTGCTATCAGTGGCACTGTGCTTTCAGACGGAGAAAGTTTGCGAATTTGTTTTTCTGATATGTATTTCAAAATTCAAAGGCGTTAGCAGGAGGGTAGATGGGTAAGAGCTCGTAAAGGGCAAGGTGGATCACAACAATGGCGACAAGGGAGGTCGCAGCAAGGGCCAAGCAGCTGAGGTATACTTTAGCGTGCTGTTTAGTCAGTGTAAGTAACATGATTGAAATTCATTGAAACTGTTTCTCTGCTCTGGAATGATGCAGGGATCGCCGGTCCAGGATATATTGAATGCTCTCAGAGGAGCTGCCCAAGAGGAATGGCCTCTACTGAAACCTCCCAGATCTCCCCAAGTCCGTTCTCAGGSAGCTGAGTGAGACATGCCTCAGGTGGGCAACCCTTTCCGTTAACCCTTCCGTTTCTTGCTATCTTGAGTGTTAGTCTGCATGTCATTGTTGTGGTTGCAAATGAACTGTCCATGCCACTGAAACCACCAGTACTTGGCCCAGCTATGGGCCGCAAAACAAAATAGAGTAGAAAGTACTAGAAACTACTAGAAAGTTACTAGAAACGTTTCTAGTCGGATCTGAATTTGGGCGCTCCTGTAGTGGTCCGTACATTTCCTAAAATTGTGGCTTGTTAACGGGCACAACTTCAGGAAGTACTGGTGGTTTAAGCAACAGAGACGCTGACCCAGCACTGTCCTGATGTGATGGCCTCTTTAGAACATGCTGAGGCTGCAGGACAGTCTGATACTGGCTCGTCAAAGGTTAGGGGCAGTAATGAGAAACTGTGGTGGGAGAGAAGGGCCCTTTGCTCTAGAATAACAGATCTCAATGGCAAGAAGGGCCCCTTCTTAAACATCCCGAACCTCTCCCAAGTACAGGATCTCAAATGCTCTCAGAGGAGCAGCTCAAGTAGAAGGGCCTCTACTGAACCGTCGACCTTCAGTTTGGGATCACAATCTCGATGGATAAGCCCACTGGGAAGAAAAACATTGGACGTTGGCTGCCAATGCCAGATAATACGCAAACTCTAGGCCCGGGCAAAAGACAGGTCTGGCAACATGGGTCGGGGAAGACCGATGGTCTAAATGGACATCTCCCTGCTAGCTAGCATATCAATTGCTTTTTCCTTTTTTGCTTCCAGATCGCAAACATCCCCAGTTTTGGTGGTCCTTAAGAATCCAGGAGGACGGGGGACGAGGCGAGAGGGGACATGGCCAATCCAAACACATGCTCTGTCAAAAGCTTCCCCATGTGCTCTGCTGTCCGGGCTCTTGGGCAACTGTGGAGAACAGACAAAACGAACCGAGAAGTTGGCCAAAAAGAAAACGAAACGGAAAAAGGAAAACACAAATTAAGTGAGGCAACACCTAAAGGAAGCTACAGTGAAGCGATGTATGCAACTGCCAGGACCGTCATACCAAATTGATAACCTGTCAACTGAACATACAAGCAACGTATTTAGGCAAGGTGAGTGGGGGAGCCTGCTGTCTCATGGAAGGAGTTGCCATTGCTGAAGCTGTTGACCTCCCTCCGACAGCCTGCTTGTCATCCTCCTCCATGCGTGCATGTGCCATGTAGAGGTGCATGCCCTTGCAAACGCGCGCACACACACACACACACACACACACACACACACACACACACACACACACACACACACACACACAC